AGAAGAATATTGATATTCCATAAATTTTTGAAATTGAAGAAAAATATCAAAAAAATCAAATTTAAATTTTAAAGGGTAAAACCAAGTGAATCGAGAATAATCATCAATAAAAATAGCATAATAAAGAAAACCCGAATTTGATTTGACGGGAGAAGGACCCCAAAGATCACAAGGAATAAAATCTAACACATGAGACGACCTACGTTCATTGCGGGAATAAGGCAATCGATGACTTTTCGCAAGCTGACAAGTATTACATAATGATGGAGAAGACAATAAAGACATAAGAGAAAGATGACCTTTTCTATTTAAAAAAGAAATAACAGAATGATTCACATGACCAAGACGAGCATGCCATAAATCATATGAAGCACGTAAAAGTTTGTTTCTAAGGGCTGAAATAAAAGCAGAGTTGCCGCGCTCCAGCACATATAGCCCTCCATCTCTTTTACCGATTGCCACCACCCTTCCTGTTTGACGATTCTGAATAGTAATAAGATTATTAGTAAATGTAACGGAAAGAGGAAAATCAGACGTTAATTTACTTATGGAAAGAAGATTTTTAGTGAGGTGAGGGACAACCAATACATCTAATAAGTGAATATTTGGAACAAGAGAAAGAGTATCGGTATGGGTAATGGGTAGGGATGCACCGTTTCCTACGATCACAGAGTCCTTACCCGTGTAATTTTTAGACTGATCCAGAATAGACGGGTCGGCAGTTATATGGGCCGAAGCTCCAGTGTCCAGAAACCAATCAGCAGCATCGGGTCTAGCAAGTGTTAAAGGCTTCAGCAAGGTGAGCATGAGAAGAATCAGGTCGAACATACCGTTGGTTGCAGCGGTCAGCATAATGGCCCTCTTTGCGGCATATTTGGCAGTGAGGTGGTCGACGACCCTGACTTGAGTGGGTTCGTCCTCGATTAGAAGAGTTGTTTTTGTGAGAATAAGAACGACCTCGCTGGTTGGTAAAGAAAGCAGGGTGGCTTCCATGGGTGCGACCACAATTAGTGGCTGTGAATGCTGTAGGAGTGGAGTCAGAGGACTCAAGGGAGCACAACTCAAAACTTTCAGCTTTAGAGACTAAATCTGCAAAACAAGGGATAGGGGTGAGAGCCATCTGAGCAGTAGAAAAAGCTGAAAATTTGGTGCCAAGTCCACGAAGGAACCAGTGCACTTTATCAATGTCCTCGACGGGTCTGCCAATGGCATGAAGTTGGTCACAATTTTTTTTGAAGGCACGAGCATACTCAGCAACAGGTTTGTTGCCACGTTTCATCAACTGCAAGTCATCCTTGAGTCTCAGTTCACGAGCTTTAGACTGATGGCTGAACGTAGTTTCCAACGCAAGCCGAACATCACGTGCAGTAGAGAGACCAACGACAACAACCATGGCTTCCTCAGTGAGAGAGGAGAGCAGGAGACAGAGAAGTCGTTGATCAGCTGCTCTCCATGCCAAATATTTGGGGTTGAGTGTTGAGGAGGTTTTTGGTTCAAAACGAGATGGTGGAACCATAGTTCCATCGACATAGCCCAGCATATCTTGACTCTCAAGGAGAGGGAGAAGTTGGCTTTGACTCTCAAGGAGAGGGAGAAGTTAGCTTTTCATCGGGCTCTGATACCATGTGAATGTTTGCTGAATCCACCATACCTAAATGGTGGTGAGAGTTCTCTTATTTATAATAATTTACAGAATACATAAATATGGAAAATTACAAATAATATGGAAATAACGATAAAAGGAAAGAATAATAAATGAATACAATATATTTGCGTTTAATAAAAGGGCAAATATGGTAACCCGTAAGGCAAATATATATTTGCCTTATAACAAACGGTCAACTATCCTTAACAATGACTATTAGGCGAAATGTACTGTAGGGGATGCGACCAATCGGCCAACTCCTCCTACCAAATTATATGATATTTAAGCTGTGATGGTTCTTTCTTTCCACTTTGCTCTCAAACTCTCGTTTAAGGATCCTTCTGGCCGTATTCTAAGACATTCTTCTCAAAATAGGATTAGAGGCTTGAGCATATGTTGTCCCGCGGTAGAGTATGCAAATCCAAATTGGCTTGACTTACTCCATGCTGGAATGAGTACCATACAATCGTAAAAATCCGCTATGACACTCAACATCAAAATTGGGTGGCCGGAGTCTAAACAAAGGATAATGAACTTATGGTTGTAAGCAGCTTATTGGAAACAAAATAATTGGGTGTTTTTTAGTTTCATTTGCCTAAAGCCGGACGATGAAGCAATCATATATGAGAAGAATCGAGACATCAAATTTGTAAGTTAACCATTGTATTACATGCACCCACAAAATGCCCATCCAATCCCAATCATGGACTACTACACAGTATTGAGGCCCGTGAGAGTGAGAGGGTGTGCACATTTAATAATTTGTTTTATGGTTTTTCGGTGCCTCTTCCTCAATGAATCACGAATACACTCTCCATTGGTATGGTCATGGGTTTATAATCTAAGAATACACTCTCCATTGGTATGAGGCCTTTTGGGAAGCCCAAAGCAAAGCCATGAGAGCTTATGCTCAAAGTGGACAATATCATACCATTGTGGAGAGTCGTGTTCGTTTAACATGGTATCAGAGCCATGCCCTAAACTTAGCCGTGCCAATAGATTGACAAATCCTCAAATGTCGAACAAAGGACTCCAAAAAGGAGTCAAGCCTCCTTGAAGGTACGAAGGCAGTAAAAAATGACTAAGACTCCAAAGGAGTCAAGCCTCGATTAAGGGGAGGCGTGCTTTGTTCGAGGGGAGGTGTTGGATGATGAAAGTCCCACATCGGTTAATTTAGGGAATGGTCATGGGTTTATAATCTAAGAATACACTCTCCATTGATATGAGGCCTTTTGGGAAGCCCAAAGCAAAGCCATGAGAGCTTATGCTCAAAGTGGACAATATCATACCATTGTGGAGAGTCGTGTTCATCTAACAGAACGAAGTATCTCTTATACAAAAGGATGTGACCAGTCGTCAACTCCTCCTATCGAATTATATGATATTTAAGCGGTGGTGTTTCTTTCTTTGATGATAGTTATATAAACCTGCTTTCAATCTTTCTTTCAACTTTGCTTTCAAATTCTCCTTTAAAAACCTCTCTACCCTATTTTTCACCTTATTCTCAACATGGGGTTAGAGGCTTGAACATATGTTGTCGGGTTGACGCGAATTCAAGTTGGCTTGGCTCACTCGGTGCTGGGAGTGCGTACTGCATAATTGCAAAAGTCCGCTGTAAATAAAAGTGTGATTACACTCAACACCAAACAAAAAAATGCTCATCCAATCCAATCATCTACTACTAGACATTATTGAGGTCCGTGAGAGAGAGAATGTGGCATACTGAAGATAGTCATGTAGACTTTAAAACGCATCTACTAAGAAAAGTTTTCTACACTATATTTCGTTCTCCTCCCAACCAACGTCACGGTCTTAGGTGGTATAAATTGAATAAGATGATTTGATATTTATAATTATATGGCTGAGATATTTGATGCATTTATTTTGATCCAACGACCAAAACATAAAGACCCATCATTTCTGACAACGAAGGACATGTGGATCATTTTAATTCAAACTCGATTTTGTTTAAAAAATAAAAACTTTATTATTATGTATAAAAATGATGTTTGGATCCAAAGATTATACACTCGCACTCCTTTCTTCTCCTTCAGATCCCAATTCCATGGGACATTCCTCAAACTCCGGAGCCGTAATGGCGGCGGCGGCGGCAATGGGCGTCTTCATTTTGATGCTGAGCGGAAGTCATTGCAGCGTTGCTTCTCCAACTTCTTCCAGTTATGGCAACATCACCGTGGCTGCTGCAGCATCGATGTGGTGCGATGGCCGTGTCGAAGAATGCGTCACACGAGAAGGCGAAGGCGAGTCGGCATTCCCAAGCTTGCTAACCTCTACACCTAAGTTTATCAGTTTTCCGACAGGAAATCGGAATAAACCTGTGTGTGAGCGACCAGGAGATTATAAAAGCTGTTTCAACGCAAGGCGTACAAACACCAAGAACGACAATTGTGGCACATATAGTCGCGCCTGTCGAAAGTAATAAGAAGCAGAACGAACGAAAAATGTTAGATTTGTGGTTGGCTATTATAATTTTATAATTTTAATTTTATGTTCTTTGAATTTGAGAGAATTTATTCAAATTATGCTTCGTTGCTATTATTGTTATCATTGTAACATGGTTGCATCGTACAATGAAGCTTTGTTATGCCAACAAAAATCAAACCCAACATTCTTACCAATAATAATCAAGAACACAAATTTTTTGTTCATGTTTTCTCATGTTGATGACATAGATTCAATGAGAGTATAAGTATGTGAAAGATCTATAAAGTCTAAGACCCTTGTTGGACCCAACGAGGCTGTGCTAGCTCGATGTAAATATATTGTCATTATAAACACAGCGACTATCTATGATTTTCACAAACAACAACCACTTTGGTCATCGCTACTAGATATTATCCGTTTGGCCCTGTTACTTATCGTTGTTAGTCTCACAATTTTAAAACGTGTCTATTAAAGAGATGTTTCCACACTCTTAAAATAAATGATTCGTTGCTCTCTTCAACCAATGTGAGATCTTACAATCATATCTTTTAAGTATAGCTAATTGAATAAAAAATGTTATGACATTACACTGTAACAACTTGACAATACAGACATAAAACTTTAACGCAAGCACATTTAGACGAAGAGACTCGGGACATGATTTTTCGTTACAACATGAAAACTTTAATACAGACATAAAGTTGCCATCGAAGGCCGTGTCATTTAATGAATAACATGCAACAAATAGTTTGAATTAGTCAAGTTCTTTCATTACAACATGAGATAAACTTGGAACATTTTTCTTCACAAGAATCTAGTATGTGGACCCTTGACCATGTCGCGAAGGCGTTGACTGTATCCAAGTCTTTCAACCCGTCTCCTCTCCTCTCCAGTGATTGACAGCTTCTCACATCTTCCTCTCCAGTCTCCTCAACTTGTATTTATGGAATACAGTTCTTTCTATTTCTTTTAAGACCTTTTCTTTGAAGAACAAGCTTCATTTCCTCTAATGGCGGATTGTAAACCCAATTACGCTTCTGCAATTTCAACCCTCCTATTTGCTTTCTTTCACCTCCAATTCCTCTCTCTCCCTATCGCCGGCGACTTGACCGTCCCCTACGAACCCACCGAGATTATAAGTCTTGATTGTGGCTCATCGGGGAACACACATCAACTTGGGGACACGGCCCACACCTGGGAGGGAGACACCGCCTCGAAATTCTTCCCTTCTAATCTCCTTCATAATGGCCAGTCCATCCAGGCGGAGGCGCAGTTCAGTCCAGCCGGAGTTCCGTTCACGACAGCACGTTTATCACACGCCGCCTTCACCTACTTGTTTCCGTTAACTCCCGGTCAGAAATTCATTCGACTTTACTTCTACTCTGCTAAATTCCAGAGCTTCGACCGCTCCAAAGCGGTGTTCTCTGTTTCAGCCGGCCCCTTCACTCTCCTCCGTGATTTCAACGCTGCTGTCAACGCCGACGCTTCCGGTGAGGACACGTTGTTTCGAGAATTTTGTGTGTATGTGGAGGGAAATGATCAGAAATTGAATCTTACATTCAGCCCCTCAAATCAAGACTCGTATGCTTTTGTCAGTGGGATTCAGATTGTTTCCATGCCGGTGAATCTTTATCATACGCCGCCGGAGATGAACAACGACGGTGGTCGAGGGTTGAATCTCGTTGGCCAAAATAATCAATTCTTCCCAATTGAAAACTACACATCTCTTGAAACGATGTACCGAATCGATATTTGTGGAAATAACATCTCCCCTGTTAACGATACCGGAATGCTTCGAACTTGGTCGGCGGACAGTGAAAGTAAATTGTCGGATGAGTACTTAGATGAAGCTTGTCCTACTAATCTTGATATCCTACTCAATCACAGCAAAATCCCGGCATACTCTGCTCCAGACAGGGTGTATCAAACTGCCCGAACCATGGGACCGAACGTTACAAGGAACAAGAGCTACAACCTTACATGGGTGTACCCTGTAGATCCTGGGTTCTTTTACATGATTCGGCTTCATTTCTGCGAGTTTCAAAAAGAAATCAACGACACAAATGACAGAGTGTTCTTGATTTATATTGCAAACACGATTGTTGAAAAGGGCGCCGACGTGTTTCGTTGGGCCGGCGGGAAAGACATTCCATATTACAGAGATTACGCTGTGAATATGCCTCATAACAATGGCGAAAAGAAAGTGAGTCTGTCTGTAAAGCTTCAAGCAAACCCAGATGACTGGAGAACGAGATTCACAAACGTGATCTTGAATGGTATCGAAATCTTCAAATTAAATGATTCCAGCGGCAACCTCGCCGACCAAAACCCAGATCCACCGCGCACTCCGCCTCTTCTACCGCCCACCCCACAATCAAGGAAATCAGATAGAAAAATGGTGGGTGTTCTAATCCCTGCAGTTGTTGGAGGTTTGGTTGCTGTAATAGCTCTCGGATTGTTTGTTTTCTGTCGGCGGAGAACATTTTCCGACCAGACATCAAGCGACGGTACTTCCTGGTGGGCTCCGTATTCCATGTCAACAAACAAATCAAGTAAGACCCGCAACTCAAATCTCCCATCTAATTTATGTCGTTACTTTTCATTGTCGGAGATTAAATCCGCCACCAAAAACTTCGATGACCTTTTCATCATCGGCGTCGGCGGATTCGGAAACGTCTACAAAGGATACATCGACGACGGAGCCACCCAAGTAGCAATCAAACGATTGAAGCCTGGTTCAAAACAGGGCGCACACGAATTCAAAACAGAGATCGAGATGCTCTCACAACTCCGTCATCTCCATCTCGTTTCACTAATTGGGTATTGCAATGATGGCAATGAAATGATTTTAGTGTACGATTATATGTCTCATGGTACCCTTCGTAGCCACCTCTACGGCGACGACGAACAACCTCTGACATGGAATCAGCGCCTCCAGATCTGCGTCGGAGCTGCCAGAGGATTACACTACCTTCATACGGGCGCGAAACACACAATCATCCACCGCGATGTGAAAACCACAAATATCTTACTGGACGACAAATGGGTCGCTAAGGTTTCTGATTTTGGATTGTCGAAAGTGGGGCCGACCAACATGTCGAAAGCGCACATTAGCACAGTAGTGAAAGGTAGCTTCGGTTATCTCGACCCAGAGTACTACCGACGGCAACAATTAACCGAAAAATCGGATGTTTATTCATTCGGCGTAGTTCTATGTGAAATTCTCTGTGCGCGTCCACCATTGTTGCGCAATGCCGACAAGAAACAAGTGTATCTCGCAGAGTGGGTCCGGCGGAGTTACAGCGACAACACGGTGGGTCAGATCATTGACCGGAACATCAAGGACGAGATCTCGCCGGAATGCTTGAGGAAATTTATAGAGATCGCAGTGAGTTGCATCCAGGACGATGGAATTAAGCGGCCGGCGATGACCGACGTGGTGTGGGGATTGGAGTTTGCGTTGCAGTTGCAGGAGGCGTCGAAGAAGAAGGTAGTAAAAGATGAGGTAGGCGGCGGCGGCGGCGGCGGAGACAAGGGTGTGGATGAGGAAGAAGGGTGGTTGATGGGGGAGATGTTGTTCAGTAGTGTCTGGGATGGAAGACGCGGGTCGGATTCGGGGATAAGCAGTGAAGTGGCGACGACAAGCAACAGTGAAGATTCGAGCTCTGCGTCTGATAAAAGAATGTCTGGAACCGTTTTCTCTGAGATTAAGAACCCAGCTGGACGATGAAGGACACGTGTTGTTATCATTATTATTAGTAGTAGTAAATAAATAATTCTCCTGAAATATTTAGGGTTAAATAATATAGAATATTTCTCACTAGTCAAAACCAACCATATTTGTTAGTAGTGAGTTTGGATTCTTATAGCAAGTTTATCTATTTATATGATTAAATCTCAGCGTTTGCAATTATTTGAGATGGAAAATAAATGTTATGAGATTTTGACCCAGTCCAAACCGAACTATGTAAGGGAAAATAAATGTTATGAGATTTTGACCCGGTCCAAACCGAACTATGTAAGACAAGTTGTATCCATGGATGTAATCATTACTGTCAAGTTGATCATTCACAATTTTTCAAAATTATGAATCAAAAGTTAATTTCACTTTAATATCACCAATTCTTTTATGAACAATTTACCGAATTCATCTCATAAGATTATGCTCTCAATTTTATATTTGGTCAAATTCTCAAAACGATAAACATATTGAATCGACCACAAAAGTAAGTTATTATCACCTACCCAAATAAAAAAAAACAAATTTCATAGACAGAAGTTCATAACTGCTCAGAATTAAGATCTAGTTGTATATGATCATTGTGTAAATTATTAATCTCCTCAAATAACGAAACTATAAAAATAGATTAAATATTTTATGATTCAGTCTTAGCACCCTACTCATATATCTCCATAGGAACAATTTATATCAAATCATCTGTAACAATTATAAAATAGGTTGCACCAACAATGTTACCATGATACGACACCGAGAGGATTTTGTCCTCTAAGGTATGCATTTTTTTGCTTTCACATTTTCCTTCCATGGACGTCACATTCCCATCCAATCAAACAAATACGAAAATTCAATTCAATCAACTAAATTAAATAAAGCTCATTTATGCTCAACCAACGTATGGGTGAAAATCACAATCACAAGTAATTGATCTAAGCTGAGCAGCTTCTTCACAAACACCAAATAAATAAATAAATAAATAACCCTTTTAACGAGATTTTGAGACAAGAATTATAAGAGCGAGAAATATTTAAGTCGTTTGAAAAGTTGTAGAATAGTCACTGTAATCTAACCGTACCATTGAAACTCATAGTTGCCTTAGCTGACTAGTGTTTTAGTGATTCTAATTAAGGGAAAGATCTTGAGTATATAAGTAAAACAACCATGAGAACTTATACTCAAAAGTGAATAATATATGAGGTTTATTTTCTTTTTTTCCACATCTCTGTGTGGGGTTGATAGGAATGGAGACGAGTATAGATTTAATCCAACGATGTCGAAAGGTCTTTGGATTTTTTGTGGAAAAACAAGAATGGAGGAAGACCAAGACTCTTCAACCATGGACTGATGCCAAGTTCATCATATTCATATGTAAGATTCTATACTTGCCTTGCCATGCTTAGAGCTTAGAGCTTATGCTCTAATGGCCGACTGTAACATCAAATACGCTTCTTCAATCATCCTACTCAATTTCATATCTCCCCATGCTTCCTGCTACTCCCACTACACTCCCCTCGACAACATAGTTCTTAGTTGTGGGTTCTCTGGTAGCCCATCTGTATCCATCGACAACCGCATCTGGGTTGGAGACGTCAACTCGAGCTTCTTCCCTTTAGATTTCCATCGAAACAACGACTCCAAAACACAAAACTCTTCACCCTCCGATTACGCCCCTTACTTAGCTGCACGGTTGTCTCACTTCCAATTCACCTACTTTTTTCCGGTCACTTCCGGCCAGAAGTTTGTTCGACTTCACTTCTATACCGATACCGATACCAATACCGATACCAACAAGGCTGTCTTCTCTGTCAAAGCTGGCCCCTTTACCCGTCTTCGTGATTTCAATGTTTCTGCCTACTCCAACGTCGTTCGCTCCAACAGCTTTTTTCGGGAGTATTGTGTTAATGTGGAGGGAAACAATCGGACACTCGATATTACGTTCACTCCCTCAAGTGAAAACTTGTATGCTGTTATTAGTGGGATTGAGATAGTATCCATGCCGGTGAATCTTTATCATACGCCGCCGGAGATGAACAACGACGGTGGTCGAGGGTTGAATCTCGTTGGCCAAAATAATCAATTCTTCCCAATTGAAAACTACACATCTCTTGAGATGGTGTACCGAATGAATATTTGTGGAGAACTCGTCTCCTCTGTTCACGATACCGGAATGTTTAGAACTTGGTCGAGGGAAAGTAATTTGTCGGATGAGTATTTAGATGATGCTTGTCCTACTAATTTTAGCATCCACCTCAATCACAGCAGAATGCCGGCATACTCTGCTCCAGACACTGTGTATCAATCTGCCCGAACCATGGGACCAAATGGTACAAGGAACAAGCGCTACAACCTTACATGGGTGTACCCTGTAGATCCTGGGTTCTTTTACATGATTCGGCTGCATTTCTGCGAGTTTCAAAAACAAATCAACGACACGAATGACAGAGTGTTCTTGATTTATATCGCAAACACGATTGCTGAAACGTCCGCCGATGTGTTTGGTTGGGCCGGCGGGAAAGGCATTCCATACTACAGAGATTACGCTGTGAATATGCCTCCTAACAATGGCGAAATGAAAGTGAATCTGTCCGTTATGCTTCAAGCAAACCCAGAAGACTGGAGAACGAGATTCACAAACGTGATCTTGAATGGTATCGAAATCTTCAAATTAAATGATTCGAGCGGCAACCTCGCCGGCCAAAATCCAGACCCACCTCCCACCCTGCCTCTTCTACCGTCCACCCCACAACCAAAGAAATCAAATGGTCAAATGGTGGCAATTCTAATCCCTGCAGTGGTTGGAGGTGTGACTGCCATATTAGCTCTGGGATTGTTTGTTTTTTTGTCGACGCAGAACATTTTCCGACCAGACCTCGAGCAACTGTACTTCCTGGTGGGCTCCGTATTCCATATCTAACAGACAAATCAAGTAAGACTCGCAACTCAAATCTCCCATCTGATTTATGTCGCTACTTTTCATTGGCGGAGATTAAATCAGCCACCAAAAACTTTGAGGACATTTTCATCATCAGCGTCGACGGATTCGGTAACGTCTACAAAGGATACGTCAACGACGGAGCCACCCAAGTGGCAATCAAACGGTTGAAGCCTGGTTCTAAACAAGGAGAGCACACGAGTTCAAAACAGAGATCGAGACACTCTCACAACTTCGTCATCTCCATCTCGTCTCACTAATTGGGTATTGCAATGAGGGCAACGAAATGATTCTAGTGTACGATTACATGTCTCATGGTACCCTTCGTAGTCACCTCTGTTAAACGAACACGACTCTCCACAATAGTATGATATTGTCCACTTTGAGCATAAACTCTCGAGGCTTTACTTTGGGCATTTCTTGATTATAAACCCATAATCATTCCCTAAATTAACCAATGTGGGACACTTTCATCTAACACCTCCCCTCGAACAAAGTACGCCTCCCCTTAATCGAGGCTCGACTCCTTTGGAGTCTTAGTCATTTTTGACTGCCTTCGAGGAGGCTTGACTCATTTTTTCTTTTTGGAGTCCTTTGTTCGACATTCGAGAATTTGCCAATCTATTGGCACGACTAAGTTTAGAGTATGACTCTGATACCAAGTTGGACGAACACGACTCTCCACAATGGTATGATATTGTCCACTTTGAGCCTAAGTTCTCATGGATTTGCTTTGGGCTTTCCCAAAATGCCTCATCCCAATGGAGTTAGTATTTCTCACTTATAAACCCATGATCATTCCCTAAATTAGCAGATGTGGGACTTCCATCATCCAACAACCTCTACGGCGACGACGAACAACCTCTCACATGGAACCAGTGCCTCCAGACCTATATCGGAGCTGCCAGAGGACTACACTACCTTCATACTGGTGCCGAACACACCATCATCCACCGCGATGTGAAAACCACAAATATCTTACTGGACGACCAATGGGTTGCTAAGGTTTCTGATTTTGGATTGTCGAAAATCGGGCCAACCAACATGTCCAACGCACACATTAGCACAGTAGTCAAAGGTAGCTTCGGTTATCTCGACCCAGAGTATTGTCGACGACGACAACTCTCAGAAAAGTCCGATGTATATTCATTTGGGGTGGTTCTCTGCGAAGTACTCTGCGCCCGCACACCAATTATTCATACAGTTGCCAATACTTGAGTTCTATTGACAGAATGGGTAAAACAATGCATTCATGAGAAGAAAGTTACAGAAATGGTAGACCCAATTCTTCAAACGAAATTGGAACAGAGTGCTTCAGGAAATTCGTTAAAGTTATGGTGAGTTGCATTCAAGATGAGGGAAACAAGCGACCATCGATGAACGATGTGGTACGAGGCCTAGAGTATGCATATCAACTACAAGAGAGTTCTAAGGAGGATAATGTTGAACTGAGTAGCCTCGACAACGAAGATGGTTGGCTCTTGAGGGAGGGGATGTCTAGTAACACTAGTATAGAAATGAATGAGAATTCAAGTAATGTGTATAATAATGGGATGTCAGGGATTGTTTCGAGCCTACAAGCAAGATAAATGTCCCTTAATTCATTTCAATGCTCGAATTGGATTCATATTATTGACAGTCTAATACTATACATAAAGATAATAAGACCCAAAACTTTGGGCTGTCTTTTCCACTTATGGTCATTATACCAGTCCATCATTTTGGGTGCAGCTGAATCTCATCTTGTAGCTAACCTCTTTGCCTTTTCAATCAATGTAAAAGAATAGAAATTGATTAAAAAAACCAATAGAACATGAGGTGGCAAGATCAGGCTCTTTCATTTCATCCCTCTTGCAATGAAGATCCACCAACTTTATTCATTCACATGCCATATCAATAAAGCAACACTTCAATAAACTTTCAATGCAAACCATCCATCTGTCTAGCGGGTGAGAGAGACTGGCTCCTATGGTTTTTTGGTCTTTGAAATCTCTACCAATAGTCTATGCAGAGCCTGAGGTTTTGAGAAAAAGGGAGAATGATCTGCACCTTTGAGAATGAAGACCTGTTCCGGAGGGCTTCTCTCAATCAAGGTCTCCTGGATTGAGACGGGAATGGCATTGTCATTCAATGTCTGTATGTAAAACCGTCTCACCGATCCATACTTTGTTTCTGAAAGACGAAGCTTTTCTAATACGGGTGGGAAGGGTATTGGTCTCATCGAAACAGATGCTAGAGCTACATCCTGAATCAGGACAAT